CTTTCAACTGCTCATACGCTCTGAGACTATGATCTAAACCATTGTGATGCCTCTTGGTGACTTTCTGAGATCTTGGCACCAGGAGGGAAGCAAGATTAACTGGCTTTCAGAGGATTCTGAAGGCAGAGAGGGTCAAGCTGAGCTGACCAGACCTGGAGAACGTCAGGTCCAGAGCAGTTGTCTCAGGAATAACTGAGTCCCTTGAAATGTGCTACACAAAAGTCTATAGCCCCAGAGATTCTAGAGCTGCCTAGAATTTGAGTGTGGGGGAATGCACCTTGAGATCTCCATGGACTCGAGGCATTCATCAGGCCCTCTGTGGGGCTGGATATCCCATGGTCAGGGCTCCTTCTAGAGCCTCCCCTGCCCACATGCCCTGGAGAAGCAGCAAACACAAGAATGCTACCATTACATAAGCTCCTTTGCTTTCTCCTCATTCTCTTTGAACAAATTTGCGTGCTGTGGTGGTTTCATACTGGATGTCAGCCCAAAGCTGGGTGATGAAAAAATGGAAGGGGGTGTGGGGGGAGTGGAGAATGAAAACGTGTGTGTGTGTGTGTGTGTGTGTGTGTGAGTGAATGCCATGACCACAGGACCACCAGCATTGTGTTCACAGAGTAACTTCAGCAGCAAAGCCTGAGACCAGTCCACAGGTCCCACAGGTGACTGGCGGGTCCCTAAGGAACATTCCCTGCAGCCCAGGCTAGCACAACAGCAGCTCTTTCTGCAAGCAATTGTCCTGCACCTTTTCTTTCCCCGTGGATATGCAGTGGAATGAGTTGATTTGGTCTTTGGGGTGATTTTGGCCTCCTTGGGCTGCTCTGTCCCATGACATGGTAGGGCACAGTATCATTCTATAGCAGAGCTGGAATGCTCTCTACTTCAATGCCTTCTCAGTAATCAAATGGGGGGAAAGGCAAAAGACCCATTAAGGATTGCCTCAGATCAACTTGATTGGGGCTGGGTTTTCCCATGCTTATGACTGTAGGGTCACTCAACTGGATCAGACCCAGGGACATCGGAGGCCTGCCCCAACATGGCCTACTCTCTCCCTTTAGAAATGCTCACTGTGAAAAGCCTGATCCTCAATGCCTCTCCTTTCTCTTCTCCTTCCCTTTTTCCTGTCTTTTCAAGAAAGCATGATTAAAGGATTGGCCAGCTATGACTAGAGCTCCCCTTAAGGACAGGATCTGAAGCAGGGTTGGCGTAATATTAGGACAAGGAGGCTTCAAGCCATTGCCCCCTCCTACATCCTCCTTCTTCCTCACAGGCATGCCCCCCATCTTCAGGCATGGAGAACAGATCCTGATTTACTGAAGGCCCAGATGACAAATGATTCTGTCCCTCTTTGTCAGGCCTGTGGAGGCACAGGATAACCCAGGGTAATGGGGAAGAAGATACTAAGAAAAGTAGGATCAGCAACACAATGGAGAACTAACCACAGTTCCACAGACTCATGAATCTCATCTGTCTATCATCTATCTATCTATCCATCCATCCATCCATCCACATATATACATACATATGTGTTTGGACATAACTAATGTGGGAACTTGTTTTGCTTGGCTATAATTTTGGTAACAAAATTTGGTTTGTTTTTTTTGCTTTCTTAATTGATGGGGAAATTTGGAACTAAAAATAAAATTGAATTAAAAAAAAAAAAGAAAATTAGGATCAAGCTACCAGCCTTACCTCATATAATAACCTCTGCCAGAACAGGTACTAATCCTCTCACATCTAACTGAGGATTAGGAGGTAGGGTCGTGCAGTGGAGAGGGTAGCTCCTAAGTTTAAATCCCTGTTCTTTCATTTGTTGTATTGACTTTGTGAAAGTCACTTCATTCCTTTGGGCCTCAGTTTCATACGTAAGTTGAGAGGGTAGATGATTCCAGAGGACCACTGATGGAACATGCTGCCTACCCTCCGAAAGAGAGGTGAAGAATTCAAGGTGCATGATGAGATATATTTTCTGGTCGTGGCCAGTGTAGGGATTTGCCCACTTTTTGTTTGTTGCCAATTTTGCCCACATTTGTTTTGCTCGACTATGAATATTTGTTATGCAGGCTTTGTTTTTTCTTTCAGTTTTGCGTGGGAGGGTGAGTGGGCCCTAGCTAACTATAGGGTTACCAAAATGGGGAGAAAGAAAAGAGGGTAATTGAAGCATTTTTTAAAATACACAAAAGAAAACAGAAGGAAAGATTGTGGGAGATACAGATGTGGAGGAGAGCTTTGGAAATAACATACTCAATTTGTTGTGTACTTGGTGGAGGAAAAGCTGCACACATAAAAGATTTGTGGTTCCATGTGCAATCTTCTTTCTCTGCCTTGTTTTGTATGTGGAAATGCTCATTTTACTTGTGTTAAGTTCAGAATAAAAAAAATTAAGTCAAGAGAGGGTTAAATTAGATGACCTCTAAGTTGCCCTCCAAGTGTAGATCTGTGGTCCTATGTGATCCCTGGGGGAAGGGGAAAGAGAAGCACTGTCAGAATTACCTACTCATTGAAATGATGAACCATGGGGTAATCCATAAAACCTTCACCTTGCTTGTGAATGAGGGAGCAATGGATTGTTGCCTTCTTCACTTTCCTTACCACCTGAGAATGGAAAATGCTATTACTTCCTATCAGATTAGCATCCCCCCTCCCTGAAAGAAACAAGCCAGCCCCATCACTGTCAGGAAAAAAAAGAAACCAAACCCTTTTATTGTGCAATCAGCTGCTTTCTACAGAAAATTACTAAAAATATATAGACTCTATAGAAACAATAAATCTGATGTTTTTCTTCCTCCCTACAACTGAATCCAACCAAAGATTCCCACCCACTTTCATTCATTAAAAATATTGGATACATGTCTGTCTAGATATCCACATATATAATACATATACATATGCTTCCTCATGAGCAATATACATATACATTTCCATCTGTGCAATGAGTCATAGTGGAAAGACTGCTCCAACTTGGAGTCTGGAGGCATGGATTCCAGTCTTGGCTCTGCCACCTTTCCTTCCTCTCTCTGGGTCCATTTCTTCATCTGCAAAACAAAGGGATTGGACCAGAGGAGTTCTAAGACCGTTTCAGTTCTGATGGTCTATGTCATACAGGCGATGCTTGGAAAAGCTCTCATGACAGAAACGTTTCCGAGTACAGACCAGGGCATATATCTGGATATGCAGGCCAAAGTGGGTGGAGAAGAGTAATGGGGAAAGAAATAAGCCATCTCTTATCTCTTCATTTTTGAACAGTTGAGACTTGCCCATTCCATCCTTCCCCTTCTCTCTAGATCACCCTCCCTTCCTGAGAAGTTGGGCTTCCAAAGCCACTCAAAGGAGGCCACTGACTGCATTAGTGATTTGCATTAACTTAACTCCACTCCTTGGATGGCAGATAACTGAGGTGGGTACAGGAAATCACTTGGTAATTTGGGTAGACAAGGCAACATGACCACCTAACTGTCTCTCTTGACGATTGGAAGTTTTAAAGTGATTGTTCAGACCAGACATTGATCGTTCAAGAGGGAACCTGCAGGTTCCACACTTCAGCTTCTGAGGGTCCTGGTGAGGTAGATAGAACACCCTGTTTTGCAAGGGAGATGGGGGGAGGGGATGGAGACCAATGAGAGACTAAATAGAAATAGGAGAGATGCCTGGCTCCATTGATTCCATGTCCTGGATACACTCATGTGGGAACCCTGTAATGACTTTTAATGACAAATGAAGACAAAAACCAACAGATCCAACTGGGTCAGGCTCTGGTCCAGACCTGGGAATATCAGAGCAGGCACTCTGTGGCTAATGACAACAGCTTTGGAATGGAGGAAAGGTAAAGGGCATAGTTGCTAAAAGAAGGCAAATTTGTGTCCATGGCTTCTACTACCATGGTCTTTGAAGAGAGATAGGGCCAAAGTAATAGAGAAATTACCTGGGGAGGCAATCTCCTCATTGCTTTATTTCTCAGAGATGCAGGCCTAGCTCCTGGCATGGAGGACCAAGGCTCAAATTGGGAACACCTTTCAGGTGCAGATCTATGGTCTCCTTACCACCAACACAAAACCATGAACCATCTTGGGAAACGTCAAGTTACCAGGAAGACCACATGCAAGGGTCTGCTCTGTTTAGTGGTCTGGTCACACTGCATTCCTGTGACACTTGGAGGCTAAATAAGGCCATGCTCTGGGTGTTTGGATTATCTCTGGTACTTTCCAATAGCCATCCCAAAGCCTTGAATGTTCAATAGGAGCTGAGGTCCAGGACTTAGTCTTCTGAGGAGATACAGATGAGGTTTATACAGAGATAGGGGAAGACCATTCTGATTTGGGTTGAAATGGATGCTGGGGTAGCAGGGCAGAAAGAGTAGCTGAGAAATCACCCCCGATGGTGGCAAAGATGGAATGAAAGTCAGCCCACTCCTCAGGGATGCATTCAATAGCTTCCAACCTTCCATAGCTCTTTGCCTATAAAGTGAGATGTGGCACCTGGGGGAGGGGGCAGCAAAGAAGAAGGCTGCAGCCACCCCTTAACTCCTTCAGGAAAGCCAGCTGCCGAGGCAGATGAAAAGTAAAGGCAGAGGGAAGAGGGGTCTCAGCACAGGAACAGGCAGGAGGGAGAGCTAGGCTAGCAGAAGGTTCCCAGAAAGCTGCTTTCTCTCGGGAGGTGGATCCCACCCAGGCCCCTCCCTCGGATGTGACGCCCTCCTCCTGAAAGAGGCCCGGTCTCTTCTCCATGTGCATGCTGCCTGGCTTGGGTTCACCCCCTTATACAGTCTCTTGGCCACAGGAAGGCAGCACCCCAAGGCTCCTGGTAGGAAACAGGAACAAACAATGCATCATAAATTCAGAAGGTGGCACCTGATAACCAGGAATAGCTTCGGTGGGTCCTGGAAGCAGGTGGAAAATGTGAGCTAAAGGCCCCGAACAATCAGAGACAAGAGAAGAGCAGGCCTGGGACCCCTCTCGGGACAAAGCAGGGCTCTA